TGTGCCAAATTTTATAAAATATTATTTAATAAAGCATCGTCAATTTCTTAGAAAAAATATTTATGGCACGTTTTTAATTGATTTAATTGAAAAATCGAAGTTTATTTCCTTTCATTTATATATCAAATTCTTTGATTCCTAATTACAATGTTTAGGCATAACTTTGCGACCAAAATTGTTGGTTTTTATCAAATATATACATTAATTTGTACCATTTTTATTTTCACTTTTTATACAATAATACATAAAAGTTGATTTAGATTTGTTAATTACTTATAACAAAGTCATAAATATATTAAAAAATCACTTTGTAGTTTACAAAATCAGTTTATTTAGATTTTAGTTTATTTTAGTAGCCTGCAGATGTTAAAAAAATAAACCGTCTTCTTTTTTCAGACTACAGACGTTTGGGCCACCTCTTCTGCTGCAGAGGTCTACAAATGTGGTCCGCAAACTGCAGACATTTTGCCTCAAAAAAACACACATTACTTAAAAGGGTCTAAAAATTGGACCAATGATGCACCAAGATACGTTTTTTTTTTGACCAAAATCACATATTTTTGCCAAACATAGGGACCATTTTTGCAATTTTGTCAATACAAAATTAATAAAACTGGAAGGCATATTTGTCATTTCATGTGGGGCATGTACCAAAACCACACAAAAATACCAACAATAAGGACCAAAACCATACAAGGTATCCGAAATTGGACCATGGATGGATCACCAAACGTTTTTGGATCAAAACCACAAAATTTTGACAAGCATAAGGACAATTTTTGCAATTTTGTCTAGAAAATGAGTTTAGGTTTTATGAAATTTTGGGGGAATAAATGTGGTTGGCGTATGTGTCTATTAAAAGAAGGAAACGTTGGGGGTAATTAAAAAAAGTGACAAAAATAACTTAGGGACTATTTGGTAGAAACTTAATGATTCAGTGAACCATTAAGAGGTCTAAATCATTAAAAGGCGTGATCCACTGGCGGACTGTTTGGTAGAAACTTAATGATTCAGAATTAAACCATTAAGAGGTCTAAATCATTAAAAGGCCTGGTGTTTAGTATGGTTGGTGATTGGTGAATGGATGTGAGAAAAATTACCATTTACCATTCTAAAAAAAAAAAAAAAAAAAAAAAAAAAACTTCAAATGCACATAATACAAAATTTTATTAATCATTTATAGAAAATAGAAACATATTTTGACTTCTCGTTTATTTTTAATTTATGTAGTAACCTGTATTTATATCAGTAACATTAAAAGACACACAAAAAAAAATAAATAATAAATATTAGAGCACTACAACTCAAACCAACAATTTTTTTTTTAATCATTGATTAACCTTTTCTTTTAATTCCGGTATCCATCTTTAATGTTATGAAACCTATTTGCAAACTATAGGTGTGAGTGGAATGTCAATATTTTATCCTTGAAATGGCCAATAAAATGCCTAAACACCTTAAGCCAAACATAACTCATTATCTCCATAAAAATTTAGACAGTGACTTACCTAACTTAAGGGAATTAGAAAGAAGTATTCTGGAAAGCCAAATAATATGTTCTTCCTTTTTCTATTCATATTTTCCATTAAAACTACAGCAATACAGAATTTTGACTATCCCAACTACACCAGAGACACAATTGAGGATTGAAAAACAATTACAATTAGAAACAACACCAATTTCATTAACTATCATCTTGCTAAAGCTTCTAATACAATGAAACAATAAATACCATGAGATGAGGTTCCAAACTAAAACTATAATATAGCTACAAAATGATAGATTGTAATCACAAATACACAAAGGTGATTGTCATATGCATGTGAAAGTACAAAAGATATTTAAAAGAATTAATCATCTTCAAATATCACCTTACTTCCTAAATCTAAACATAACATGGATAGCATCAGAAACTTGACATCCTTATATTTCAAATCAGAGAAGAATTTGTTTAATTTCAACATCAATCAAGAAATACACAAAAATAGAAGGAATTTAAGATTCCTCTGATGCAGACCTACATAATTTAAGACGAATTAAGATGCATTAGCAAAAGAAAATATCACGAATGCTTAACCTTTTGGTTCAGTTTCATGTTTTTCTTAAAGTATTACATCATAAAATCATTCAAAGATAACACGAATCCCTCCCAATATCACTACAATTAAAGATGAAACACAAAATAACACAAATCAAAAATTGATTTCGAAGACGAATTGGTACCACAGAGATGCAGAGACGAGATGGTACGTGAATTTCAGCGATGAATAAAGAGGCACGATTCAGAAATAGGAGGGGGAAGGGGAGTGATTGTTGTGCCGCCAGAGAGGAACTCCGATGGGAAGGTCGGTGCAGGAGGTGGGGCTCCCATGGAAGGAACCGTCGATTGAATGTGGGTGTCGCTTAGAAGGAAGCACGCGGGATTAGGGGGAAAAGGCGTCAAATGTTTCATTCAGACGGGTCGGAGTGGGCAACGTCCACCTACGTTTTTAGAAGAAAAAACAAGAAAACGGGCGTTATAGGATGTGGTGGTGATAACCGGAAGCAATGTGCAGGCTGATAATGCGCAATAACGGGAAGGAGGGGCGGTGTTTGTCATGTTATAAGGTGGAAAAACACCCCATGGGCGTTGCCCACACCTAACACCCTCATCGATCACCTAAACGAACCAAACTATCTGTTTACAAAACTACAAAATGACACTGATAGCTGTTTTTTTTTTTTTTTGAGAAAATTATATAAATGGTCCATGTAGTTTACCAAGAGTTACGGTTGTTTACTATTTGGATAAAACCAAATTGGACAATTGGACAATTTGGATTGAACTATTTGGTTCGAATATTCGGATTTTTGGATTGGTTTTCAACAAAACCGAATTATTATTTTGGATTTCGGATTGGTTTTGGTTTATGAAATATGAACATAATAGTAAAAAAAACCGAATAACAATTTGTTATTTATTTATTTTTAATATAACTATTACTATTTATTAATTTTATAATTTATTTTTTTAAATAAGTTCGAAAAGTTTCATCTAATAAAAAACATTAATATGCATTTTCTCTCAAAAGTTTTTTAACTATTAAATATTAAACTATATTATACATTCTTAATAGTTTATAAATTTTAAATTACAACTAAATAAATTTTTGTGCTTCTTTTGTAAAAATTGGATAATATTATAATTATATGTCATTTTAAAATGTATTGGTTTTTGAAAACCGAATTATAAAAACCAATGCAAACGAATTGTAATTAGATTGGATCGGATCGGATTAGATTTTAGTTTAGACTATTCAGATCTATATTTTAAAAACAGAAATCAATTTGGATTTAGTTAATTGGATCAGATTGAACCGATCCATCCAAACGAACACCCTACCAAGAGTGACAAATTTAGTCATTCTTAAATTTTAGACGAATATAGTCCCTATAGTTTCCAAAACTTGCATTAAAAATTTTTTTTTTGCTAACACCGTTACTTTTGGTCAGTGAGGGTAATATCATTCGGTGACTGAGTTTGTGATCATGAGTAACTATAGGAACCATATATGTAATTTTGTCAATGTCTTATGTTTATGAGTTTGTGATTTTTCCACCATTTACTTTTTAAGATGTCACTTTGAGCTTTTCATTTTGAACTTTATTAAATTTTGTTTTCATCTGTTTATTTTCTAAACTTTCATGTTTACTCCTCGTACTTTATATAATTTAATTTTCTTTAATAACTTTCGTTCGTTAACTTAAAAACCTATTTTTTACGTGTTTATTTTTATATATGTTTCGGTATAAATTCAAGATGATCTATGTTTCGATATGAATTTAAACTTTTGTTTCATTAATTTCTTTTTCAAAAATTTACTTGTTTTTTTATGGGAAATCTGCGAAAAAGTCCCAAAATTTTGCCCCAATTTATGATTTAGTCCTAAATTAAATTTTACTTATGAAAAAGGACAGGTTACCGGCTAATACACTCAGTTTGGCCCTAACAACCGGTAATACTTATACGAGTCGGTTACCCCAGCTCATTGACCTTATCACCCTCCATTAAACACCCCGTCATCAACTCCTCCTATGTAAAAATCCTTTCTTACCCCCCATCGAAGCAAAATGGCATCTTCAAGCTCAGTGGGAAGTAGGTTCATCATGCTTTTGTGAAGACCCCGTTGGTAAGTGGACATCATGGAGGCCAACAAACCCTGGCAGGAGGTTCATCGGCTGCCCTAATTTCCGGGTAAGTATCCCTTAAACCTCTTTAATTACATCTCAAATCTCTTCCAATTAGGTTTTATTTCCCATATTACAGGATGAGGAAAAAGATTGCAAGTATTTTGCTTGGTTCGATCCCCCATTACCAAACAACTGGTATAGAAACTTGTTGATGGAGTTTCACAATAATCACATTCAAGTACACAATGAGTTTGCAGAAGAATTTGTGGAAGAAGCTGTGGATTTTCACAACAATGGCATTCAAGAGGTTCCTGTACAAGGTGAAGGTGAAAAATGGAAGATTGGGTTTTTTTGTGTTTGTTGGTGATTGTGTGGATTATGTTGAAGTAGTTTTAAGTTGTTGTAAAACTTTTAAATGACAGTTGGATGTAAGTTGTATGTTGTTGAATGAAAAATGGTTTATTGGATACCTACTGTTTGAGCAATGTACAATTGTAAGTGTATGATGTGAGCAAATGAAGGATGTTTTTCAATATAACATAATGAACAAAATGGATGTAGGTTATACATACCAAAATCAGCCAAAGTGTTTACAAAAGAAAGGGCATATCCCAATTAACAAATTTACCAAAAAGGGCTTCCTAACAAATTTGCCCAATTAGCCTATATAACTGCTTAAATCCTAACCAATCTAAAGTCCCAAAGTGTTAACAATGCAGCCATATTGTGTATTGTTTACAAAAGAAAGGGCATATTAACAAATTAACCAAAAAGGGCTTCCTAACAAAGTTGCCCAAGTAGCCCATATAACTGCTTAAATCCTAACCAATCTAATCCAAAGTAAGAGGTTTTTCTGGAGCCATTCCTATTCCTTTCTTGTCATTCACAATTTTCTTCAACATGTTTTCAGTGATCCTTTCAGAAGTTTTTCTTGTTCTAACCCTGACTTGAGTTCTAACCCTAACTTGAGTGTCATCAACTCCCTCTTCATCATCCTCAGCTCCATCTTCATCATTGTCCTCCTGTGATTCTGCAGCTCCATCTTCATCATTGTCCTCCTGTGATTCTGCAGCTCCATCTTCACCATTGTCCTCCTGTGTTTCTAGTACATGTTCACTCACATAAGGCACATCCTTGCATTGGAAAGAATACAAGTTAGTTATGTTATTGAAAAATAAAATTCACTGTCAATGTTATAATATATACCTTTGCAGCTTGTTTGGATTGGTGAATCAAAGCATCAAATCCTTTCAGTTGTGATTGGGTGATATTAAGACACATAAGGATCTCTGCTTCACTGTATTTTGACTCTCTAAGGTAACTCAAATCACTCAGTATTTGATCCAGATCAGCCATATCAATACCATCACCTTCATCATCAATGTTAACATCAGCTTCCTGTGTTTCTGGTACATGTTCACTGTCAACAGTAGGTGCTGTTTGGGTGACAAATTGACTCTCAACATTAGGTGTTGTTTGGGTGAAAAATTGAGTCTCAATCCCAGGTTCTTTTTTCCCAGAACTTTCACCTTCTTCATAAACACTGGTAGACCCTCTTTCACCACTTCTACCCCCTCTTCTACCACTTCTTCCACCACCTCTTCCACCTCTTCCACCTCTTCTACCACCTCTTCCACTACCTCTCCCAAGTCTAGTGCAATTGGTCAATTCTGGATTCAACCTTGGCCTTCCTATTTTCTTCTTAGGCTTTGGTGTTGGTTGGACTGGGGGATTCTTGCAAGAAACTTTATTGTGCCCCGTTTGCATACAATTCTGACATTGGACAGTTCTACCCTTAGAGGAGACTTGGGAAAACCTGTCTTGATGCTCAGAGACATGCCTTTTCCTTTTCATACAAGGCCTTCCTGGCATCCTTCTTTCAATAGGTGGTAGTGGTTTGGTGTAAGGTGTTGGTTCCCACATATTACTGCCATTAACAGGAAGGATGTTAGACTCATAAGTAGCTAAGAACTTGTCCTTACCAAACCATGTGCTGATGAATCTAGCTGGATCCTGTTGTGTGTAAATTATGGTTGCTTGGGCATGGACACATGGGATCCCAGATAACTCCCAAAGTCTGCATGTACAGTACATCCCCTCTAAGTTCACTCCATATGATTGGAAGCCATTTCTCACTTCAAAAGCATTCAAACCACTAGGATGAACATACCAAGTCCTGCAAACACATTAACAGTTTTAATTATTGTACACATTAATAGTTTCAAACCACTAGGATGAACATAATACTTACTTGATATCAAAAGCAAACTCATCCAGTTTCTTAATAGCTCCTGGACACACATTATTCACCCATTTACGTGCTTCTTGCTTCAAGTTAAATAACCTTTCCATCATATATAGTCTAATCTCCTCAAGCATGGCCAACAAAGGCTTCTTTCTGGCATCAAGTATGATGGCATTAAAACACTTTACCATTCCATTTTCAACAGCCTCACATGCCATTCCACCTTTAAAAAATGCCATGCACCAAGATTTAGGCTCCCTTGCCATCAAATGATCATAAGCAGCATGATTGACTTCTTTGATCTTCTCCATATTCAATTTGAAGTCCCCTTCAACAGTTGACTTGGCAACTGTCCAAAACATATTCTTGAACTCTATACCACTGAAGACCTTTCTGAAATTTGCATACACATGTCTTGCACATTGTCTGTGCTCCACACGTGGAAATACAACCTTTACAGCTTCCAAAAGACCCTATCAATTACATTAAAAAATATCATTACTAACTGCTTGATCCATGTATAAATGAAATGAAAAAAAAGTAGATAATTGAAAACATTACCTTGTGTTGATCAGAAATAACACACAAATCCAAACCTCCTTGTAATTCCAGGTCATCATGTAATAGTTCCAAGAACCATTGTCAGTTGGGCTTGTTCTCAATTTCAACTACTGCCCAAGCAATGGGATACACATGGTTATTTGCATCCCTCCCTATGGCAGTTAGCAGCTCACCTTTACATTGTCCTTTCAAAAAACTCCCATCAAGCCCTATAACTCTTCGACAAGCAACTTTCCATCCTTCTTTGATAGCCTTAAAACATGTATACATTCTATGGAAAGTAGTAGTGTTATCAGGGTTTATAGTGACAGATATTTGAATTGTACTCCCTGGATTGGACCTCATCAATTCATGTCCATAATCCCAAACTTTTGCATAGTGATCACTCAACTTTCCATCTATTAAAGAAATTGCCCTACACTTTGCTCTATAACATTTTGACCATGAAACCTTGCAATGGAACCTGCTTTGAATAATAGCTTGCATTTCCTTACATTTCAGATTTGGTTTCCTAATCATCTCCTTCAGAAACTGCCTAGCTATCCATGTGGGATCCATAAGATTAGCACTACAGAAATTCCTAACACAGGTATGTTGCTCAACCATTTTTTTGATTTGGAATGATCTTTCAGTGCTCATCCATGAGGCCCTTACAACAAAGGGACATTCAAATTTCTCAGGGTCACTTGCACATACAGCCACGAGCCTTACACTATCACATTTCTTGAACCTAATTGGATAACCCCTACTTATAGAGTAATTTGTCAAACAAAGCTTCAGTTGGTGTGGTGATTCATACCTCTCTCCAAGAACTGGCTTCATATTGTTCCATTTCACCTTCGGATCATGGGTTGAGTATTGAAACTGCAATTTGTCTTCATCGTCACCTTCATTATCACTCTGCTTGTCCTGCGGTGCTTCATCTTCTGACATTCCTTCAAAATCATTTAGGTTTATCTCAGGTATGGTGCATTCGTCAAGCGCTTCATCTGTGAGAGTATTTAGGAACTCATCTTTGCATCGACTTCTTTGTTTGTGTTTAAAAAACTCATCCAATTCCACGTCAATGGTATCGAAGTCATCTACCGTCTCCATTATCACTACAAAACAAAAATTAATCAAATATTTTAAGGGAAACACGATATTGGAGAACCACATGGATTTTCTTACCTTTGATTCTTCTCAGTCTTACTTCGATGGAGGTAAAGAAGGGGTTTTTACAGAGGAGGTGTTTAATGGAGGGTGATAAGGTCAATGAGCTGGGGTAACCGACTCTTATAAGTATTACCGGTTCTTAGGGCCAAACTGAGTGTATTAGCCGGTAACCTGTCCTTTTTCATAAGTAAAATTTAATTTAGGACTAAATCATAAATTGGGGCAAAATTTTGGGACTTTTTCGCAGATTTCCCTTTTTTTATGCATGTGTCGTTTAAATTCGAATTTGTCTACGTTTCAACGTGTGTATATATATATATATATATATATATATATATATATATATATATATATGAGGATTTGTTATCATTGTCATCAGGTTGGTCATGTGAAGACCAACTGTACGCAGCTCGCCGCCAAGCCGGCGCAGGGTTCCGCACCGGCTACTGTGAGGATTGGGGATGGGAGGCCAGTCAAGGTGGAGCCTCCAAAGGCTCAGGGTCGCGCTTTCCAGCTCACGGCCGAGGAGGCCAAGGCAACACCGGATGTGGTTGCTGGTATGTTTCTATTTTCTGTTCCAGTATTTTATCTGTGTATGCTTATTGGTTGTACCTGTGTTTAGGTACGTTTTTAGTAAACTCTTTGCCTGCTTTGGTTTTATTCGATTCGGGGGCGAGTCGGTAGTTTGTATCTCAGACTTTCAGTAGAGGGTTTAGTGTGCCGGTAGATGAGCTTGAGTATCCGTTGCGGGTTTCGATCGCCAACGAGCACGGGGTCTCTGCTTCTTCGATCTGTCAGGGATGTGAGTTGGAGATCTTCGGGGTGTCCTTACCGATAGATTTGATTCCTATTCCCATGGGGGAAGTATGTGTGATCGTAGGGATAGATTGGCTAAGTCGATTTGATGCCATGATCGACTGTTAAGGACAGCGAGTGGTGGTTCGAACCCCAAGTGGGGGAGAACTGGTGGTATATGGCGAGGGCACCAGGATGGGATCAGGGTTTTGTTCGGCGGCCAGGGCTCGACGGTATATTCAGCATGGGTGTTCCGGTTATTTACCGTACGTGATGGATACGCGGGTTAGGGATCAGCCCTCGGTTTCGGAGGTCCCAGTAGTTAGAGAGTTTGTTGACGTGTTTCCGGAGGAGTTACCCGGAGTGCCTCCGGAGAGGCAGGTTGAGTTCATGATTGACCTAGTGCCGGGTGCGGCCCCTATCGCTAGGGCGCCATACCGTCTGGCACTGCCTGAGATGCAGGAGCTATCATCTCAGTTGCAGGAGCTGTTGGGTAAGAAGTTTATTCGTCCGAGTAGTTCACCCTGGGGAGCACCGATCCTTTTCGTCAGGAAGAAGGACGGTTCGCACATGATGTACATTGAATATAGGGAGTTAAATAAGTTAACGGTGAAGAACCGTTATCCACTCCCTAGGATAGATGATCTATTCGATCAGCTGTAGGGTGCATCTTGGTTTTCCAAGATCGATTTGAGATCTGGATATCACCAGGTCAGGGTGAGGGAGGAAGACGTGGAGAAGACTGTGTTTCGGAATCGTTATGGTCATTACGAGTTCGGGGTGATGCCGTTTGGGCTCACCAACGCTCCGGCAGTGTTTATGGATTTGATGAATCGATTCTGCAGACTGATGCTCGATCGCTCGGTCATTATGTTTATAGACGATATCTTGGTATATTCCAAGACCCGAGAGCAGCATGAGGAGCATCTCAGGGAGATGTTGGAGGTTCTGCGGCGAGAGCGGTTGTATGCCAAGTTCTCGAAGTGTGAGTTTTGGTTACGAGAGGTCCAGTTCCTCGGACATCTCGTTAATTAGGAGGGGATTTTAGTCGATCCGACCAAGGTGGAGGCGGTTATGCAGTGGGAGACTCCGAAATCTCCCTCAGACATTAGGAGTTTATTGGGTTTTGCAGGGTACTACCGGAGATTTATTCGAGATTTCTCCAAGATTGCAGTACCCCTCACTCGTCTTACGAGGAAGGGGGTGGATTTCCGGTGGGGCCCTGAGCAGCAGAGGGAGTTTGAGACCCTCTGGCAGTGTTTATGTGAGGCGCCAGTGTTGACACTCCCCGAGGGAGTCGAGGAATTTGTAGTATATTGTGATGCATCCATCTCGGGTTTGGGGGCAGTCCTCATGCAAAGGGGACGGGTGATAGCTTATGCATCGCGGCAGCTGAAGCCGCATGAGACGAGATACCCTACGCACGATCTTGAGTTGGGAGCGGTGGTTTTCGATCTCAAGATTTGGAGGCATTATCTGTACGGTGTCCGTTGCACTATATATACAGATCACAAGAGTTTGCGACACATCATGGATCAGCCGAACCTGAACATGAGGCAGCGCAGGTGGCTGGATGTGGTCAAGGACTACGATTATGAGATCCTTTACCATCATTGTAAATCGAATGTGGTTGCGGATGCCTTGAGCCGCAAGTCAGCTGGGTCTTTTACCCAGCAAGGTGTATGAGGATAGCGGTGGATTCCCCGCTTGTGAGCTTGATTAGGGATGCCCAGGTTGAGGGTATGAGACCGGAGATCTGGAAGTTGGAGAGAATTAAGGGCGAGAGCGCCCGGTTTGTTCAGGATTGCCGCGGGTTGTTGACCCGGTACGGTCGGGTTTGGATTCCGATGTCCGGAGGAGTTCGGCAGACAGTAATGGAGGAGGCTCATAAGTCTCACTTTTCTATTCATCCGGGGCCACCAAGATGTATCGTGATTTTATTTTAAGTTATTGGTGGCCCGGAATGAAGCGAGAAATTGTTGGGTATGTTGAGAGGTGCTTGACCTGTAGAATGGTCAAGGCCGAGCATCAGAGGCCACATGGTAAGCTGCAGCCTCTAGAAATTCCCATGTGGAAATAGGAGCAGATCACGATGGATTTTATTACGAAGTTGCCGAGGAAGGTGAATGGGTTTGATACTATATGGATCATCGTGGATCGGTTGACCAAGAGTGCCCATTTCTTGGCCATACAGGAAAGTTTGTCGGCTGAGAAATTGGCCGACATGTATGTCAGTGAGATTGTCTCTCGCAATGGGGTTCCAGTTTCTATCGTTTCTGATCGGGATGTCAGGATTACTTCCCGTTTTTGGCAGAAGTTCCATGAGGAACTGGGTACGCGACTGCATTTTAGTACATCATTCCATCCGTAGACCGATGGGCAGAGTGAGCGGACCATCGAGACCCTCGAGGATATGTTGAGAGCATGTGTCATTGACTTTGGTGGGAGTTGGGATTCCCACCTACCGCTTGCAGAGTTCGTCTAAAACAACAACTATCATTCCAGTATTGGCGCCCCGCCTTTTGAGCTGTTGTATGGGCGGAAGTGTAGAACCCCAGTCTGCTGAGGTGAGATTGGGCACAGGGTGATGGGGCGGACAGATGTAGTTCTACAAACTACCGAAAAGATACAACAGATTAGACAGTGTTTGCATACCGCTCAGAGTCGGCAAAAGAGTTATGCCGACAAACGCCGATCTGAGTTGGAATTTCAGGTAGGTGACATGGTACTTCTGAAGGTCTCACCTTGGAAGGGTGTGATTCGCTTCAGGAAGAGGTGAAAATTGGGTCCCCGTTATATTGGGCCATTCAGGATCATTGCCTGGGTTGGCAAGGTGGCTTATAGGCTCGAGCTCCCGGAGGAGCTTAGCCGGATCCACAGCACGTTCCATGTTTCACAGTTGCAAAAGTGCATTATAGATCATGAGGCAGTAGTATCATTGGACGACATTCAGGTCGATGAGTGCCTGAATTATGTGGAGAGGCCGGTGGCCATTTTGGAAAGGAAGAAGAATATTCTTCGGAACAAGGAAATACCTTTGGTGAAGGTGCAGTGGGAACACCGGAGGGGATCCGAGTGGACATGGGAGCCGGAGGCGGAGATGCGCGAGCATTACCCGGCATTGTTTATTTCAAAGGACTTCGAGGGCAAAGTCTAGTTCAAGTGGGGGAGAATTGTAACGCCCCGATTCTCAGGTATGGATTTAAATAAAAAGTTCTTTGGTTTTAAGTCCTACTCGACGAGTTGGTTGCCCTACTCGTCGAGTAGCAGTGGGGTGAGTGTTGGGTTTTGAGCATTCTAACACTTCCTAAGTGTACATGCAACCCTAATAAACCTTGGATCTATGTTTGTATAAGGTACATGCAAAATATTATTTTTCAAGGTTTATAACCTATCTAGCATACATGGGGTACTTTTAAACATAAAATGACTAGATGAATTACATACCTTTTGTTGATTGTTGATTCCTTGGAGTTTGAGAGCCAAGCACCAATAATGTGAATGCCTCAAATGGAAATCACAAATCACCACAAACTTGGAAAAACTATGAGAGAGTATACTAACACTTAGTAATTTGCCACCACTATTACACACACACTAGTAGTCCTTTTCATGCACCATAGGCTTGTTTATATAGTGTGCATGGTTAGGGTGAAACCCTAATAACCCATGTATTTTCCTCTTCCAAGGATCCATGGGTTAAAAGCTCCATGGATCATCCATGGACTTCCATATTAGCTTAGCCCATTAACAAATAAGCATTAGCCCACACCATATAAATATGATAGCCCATGATTTAATTAGTCTTCCTTTTAATCACTAAATCAATTCATAATTAATTCAAGATTAAAACTAATTAAATAACATGACTTTATATTAATATATTATAACTTATAATATATTAATGGACCGCAAATATACTCTTCTCATAATATTATCCACATAAATAGTTCGGGTGAAGTGCAACTCAAATGGACCATGCCGGGTCGGGTCAAGTATATACCAAATAAGTTATGGACTTAGACACCTTATCCAACAGACTCCCACTTGGATAAGTCTAATAACTGTATTTGCCTATATTACTTCAGGAACCAACCGACAATCGTAGCTCTCGAAAACTCTGTTGAACTATGAAGCGCCATTTT